TATGCTTCTTTTTTATAGCCTGTCTCATATGTTCAAGTGAAACTACTTGCTGTGACACTCAATGTTTAGCAGGCCAATGTTGTAACTATTTTCCCCATTTATGTACTGATGGTAGACCCTGCTGTTATACCTGTAATACGAATGGTTATTGCCATTAATTTAATAAATATGAACAATTTTTTTTACAAACATTCTGGTTTTATTTTATTTCATATATAACTGCATCAATTAGTTTATTATAGCTTGTGTGTGCAATCAATTGAGTTAAAAACTCGTTTTATGTCTGTTATATATTCTTATTTAATGCTTGGTCTTCTTGCGTTTCTTTTTCATTAATCATGCTTACTACATAAATCAACTTTCTTTCTATATAATCTTCATTTTAATAAATTTTATTCATATTTTATCTTTTTGTTGTTACTATATTAACATGAATTGCCTTCACTGACGACTACAGACTATATCAAGTTGAAGCGTATAACTTGTGTTTCAAAAATTTGAGTAGATACAATAATATAATGAAAATTGAACATATACACAATAATAAAATGAACAACTTGTTGTGTAATGTCGAGAAGAATTTATGAGAGACATATATCTGTATAAAATTAATATGATGAATGCAATAAATTTTAGTAAAAATGATCTTCAAGGGTAATTTATTTAAAAGTATCCAAATATAACTCATTGCTCGTATGTACTTCTGACAGAAATTTAATGTATTTTGAGTTTCATTTGATTTTCATAGTATTAAATGTATATAATTGAATTAGATTTTGAACAGATACAGCCTACAAGAGATGAAAAATAATTAACTCGAATTTAAATGATAACATGAAAATCCAATGGAACGCAAAAAACAATGTGATATATTCAGATGCATATGAATAAATTACTGCATTAAAAGACTGATCATATATTACATTTGTTATTAGCATCATCTAGTATATATCTTATAAATATAAGATCTAACCGACGATCTACAAGATAGACATTGAAAAAATACTGTGTTTTCTTACTTATGACTCACCCGATCTTGAAGATTTGGGTATCATATTTATAGCACATTTACACCCACACTCGTAAGAAACAGAGAAAGTTTTTGATGCAATTAATGAATGATAAAGTTGATTCTTATACAGATTTTAAAGTGGATAACGATAAAATAATTGGAATCATCTAGCATTTTAGAAAGAGTATCAACAATTATTTCTGCACCTGATCAAATTAGCTGGTCATATAATTTCAATTTTATATAATTTCGTTTTAGTCCAGCTTAGACTCTCTACTGTTGATCAAGTTATCAATTAACGACGATCCGATTTAGATCTGTCAAATGTTAATGACATTTTATTTCTTCGATAAATAGAAACTAATAATAAACAACGCCTAATTGACAATATATATCGAGCATCTTTTCTTTTTCTATATTTCATCTTTTTTCTCACTTTTTGTCTAGTGTATGATTGAAGCAATTATATCATCAAATAATGACAATTTCTTTTAAAGACGAAGCGAATCCAGGCGAGAAGAATTTTCTCGGAACGAGGCAAGCAAAGGAGCAAAGAACTATCACCGTTTCGGTCTCTAATGGAAATTATAAAACTCTTTGCATCTATATTATACTTTCACTCTTAAATTTTATATTTCTATTTAAATTGTCATATAAGCACTTCTAACTGTTAGTTTTAAAAGCATAATAGATATTTTTAGAAAAAGATAATTGCTGTGCAAATACCTACTAAGTAAATGTCACAGATGTCATTATATATTATGGACTTAAAATGTAAAACACTAGAGTTCGAGACTTTTCAGAAGTGAGCTTTGGCCTTTAAAAAATCTGATTATATCATGGACAAAGCTTATCGAGTTGTACTTGGAAGAGTAATGGATATTTGGAATAAGTTCCTAGAAAACCATAAGATGGTTTTACGAAGCAGGCATAAAGTGATATTCTGACGTTTGTTTTTGACATAGTCTGATCTATGAAAAATATGATGCTGCCATGGGATAGAGCTCGTCGTATCGTACTTGAAACATTTAGAATAGGTTCTCAAACGAATACAAGACAGTTTCACTCGAATATGATGAAAACTTTGCATATGTCAGTGAATGCGTTATGACGCAGTTTTTAGTTAGGGATAAATATACCGTTTTGATGTTAATGCATGATGGATAGTTCAACTGGAGAGCACTTAAAAATTCATTAAAAAAGAAATATAAAGTAATGTATAGTTAAAGTTTTATTTCACTCTATTACAAAAAAGAAATAGAACAACATATCAATATCATACTATTCCGGTTGACAAGAATGACACGATCAATTTTTTTGCTGATTCTGACAATGGCTGTTGCCAACGTTGGTTGTACAATACGTATTAGTTATATCTACAATGCAACATACGTTTCCACTAATATTACTGCTGTCATAGCGTACAATAATTCATGCTCTGAATGTATTTGCTATGGATTTTTATCAACTGTACCTTCATTGTATGCAGGAATGAACTGCTATACAAATAATAAAACGTGTGCATTATTTGCTAGTTATTTATCATTATCGGCAATCAAGATTGATCTTAATTCAATATTTATATTTATACAACAACCTTTATCACAAAATACAACAACGGGTAATTAAACATCTATTTAGGTCATACCAAAAGTAGTGGCAACGGCACTATAATATTCTATCGAGACCTCGAGGAAGTTTTCTTTTTATCTATACTGATAATCTAAACACTGTTCTATAAATCTACCCCATTTTATCATGATTCAGTTGAGATTATAATATTAAGAATACAACAAAATCAGTGACATCTCAACTATTAGAATATCTACAAAAAGATTTTCGGATGTAGATGAGGGTGCACGTATTACATTCTTTTTTTCGTCATACTCACGCCGCCTCATCATACAGATTTGAACAGGCTCTTTTTGAAGTTTTATATTTGTAAAAACTATATTTTGGGCTTAAGCTTTGATAAAGAAATATCATATAACTCTACGTGCAGGATTTGAAAAAATCTCATTGCAAAAGTCGTACTTCGTGTAAGTTTATTCGTTTGAATTATTGTAGTATAAATATGATTAAAAGAAGAAAGTCAAGAGAATCTAATTTAGTTCATAAAACTTTACCATAATGCCATCAAACCCAGATGTTTTGATAATAGATCGAGGAATGCTGGATTTTGAGTTATATCTTATCCAATACTTTTCATCTCATTTTAATTTCATTGTTTCAAAACAGAATCGATCGCGTCATCATCATCGACATCGACAATTGCATCAACAACGTCACCATCAACGACTGTATCGACCACGTTATCACCAACAACATTGACGACTGTATCAAC